TTGTGATGTCTGGGGTCCATATCATACTCCTTCATTATCAGGTGCCCATTATTTCTTAAGCATTGTTGATGACCTTACTAGGACTACATGGGTTTATTTAATGAAGACCAAGACTGAGGTTTATTTTTTATTGACATCTTTCATTACCATGGTACACAGACAATTTAGTTGCCCTGTGAAACAAATTCGTAGTGACAATAGGACTGAATTCACCAATCATCAATTTCAACAATTCTGTCAACAAAATGGAATTCTTAGTCAATTCTCTTGTATCTCCACGCCTCAACAAAATGGAGTAGTAGAGTGCAAACATAGGCATCTTCTTGAAGTGGCTAGAGCCTTGAGATTCTAAGTAGGTTTACCAATTAAATTTTGGGGAGAATGTATCTTAACGGCAACATACTTAATTAACTATGCTCCCACTCCACTTTTATCTAGAAAGAGCCCATATGAGGTCTTATTTTCTCAAAAACTAAATTATTTACATCTTCGTGTCTTTGGATGTCTTTGTTATGCATCTGTCATTCTCAGGTCTAAAGATAAATTCCTTGAGCGTGTTACAACTTGTATTTTTGTTGGTTATCCTTATGGTAAAAAGGGATATAAAGTGTATGATTTGAAAACTCATCAAATCTTTGTCTCTCGTGATGTTGTGTTCCATGAAAATATTTTTCCATTCCATGATCAAATGCAAGTCGTGCCAATCCAAGAACATTTCACTGCCACACCAATTCCTTTACCTAGCATGGATCAAGAAATACAAAATGGCCAAAATAGCTCTCTGCCTTCAGCCTCAAGTACCAAAAATAGACTTAAACCTTTCAACACCCATAATATACCTCAACTTGAACCTTCCGAGACTGCAGAACCTGTAAATAATCAAACACAACAAATTCAAAATTACCTATCTCGCCCAATCCGCACCAAAACATTTGAAGCTCGTTTCAATGATTTTCAAGTTGATCTTCCAGGAAATAATAAAGGTCCATCCTACACCAACACCAAGGCAGCTTCCTCAGGTACTCTTTACCCCTTATCTCATTTTGTTTCCTACTCTAAATTCACTCCTTCCCACACTTGTTTTCTTGCGGCCATCACTCAACATGATGAGCCTACAACTTATAAACAGGCTATTAAAGATACTCAATGGCAGGCAGCAATGCAACATGAACTTGAAGCTCTTGAAAAAAATCAGACATGGACACTACAAAACTTACCTCCAGCAAAGAAAGCTATAGGATGTAAGTGGGTATATAAGATTAAGTATAAATCTGATGGGACAATTGAACGTTACAAGGCACGTCTTGTGGCTAAGGGATATTCTCAAGTGGAAGGATTAGATTACACTGAGACTTTCGCACCAGTTGCTAAACTTACTACCATGCGCACTCTTTTAGCAGTTGCAGCTACTAAACATTGGGTTCTTCATCAACTTGATGCCCACAATGCATTCATTCATGGTGACTTAAATGAAGAAGTGTACATAAAGCCTCCTCCTGGTTATTTACCAATAGGTGATGATCGTGTTTGTCGGCTTCACAAGTCTTTGTTTGGTTTTAAGCAAGCATCCAGACAATGGTTTGCAAAATTCTCTACTGCCATTCTACAGTTTGGTTTTACTCAATCGAAAGCTGATAACTCTCTTTTTTTACATCATAAAGGCACTTCATTCACTGCCATTCTTGTTTATGTGGATGATGTCATTATTGCTACCAATGATATCTCACATAGAGAAGCTCTCAAGCACCATTTGAAGACTTGGTTTCCCATCAAAGATCTTGGTAACCTTAAATATTTTCTTGGATTGGAGGTCACTTGTTGTCGTGACGGTATTGCATTGTCTCAACGAAAATATACGTTGGACATTTTACAAGAAACAGGTATGCTTGCTTCCAAGCCGGTACACTTTCCCATTGAACAAAATCATAAGTTAGCTTTAGATGATAGCAACTTACTTGATGATTCTGGTCCTTATCGTCGATTAATTGGGAGATTGATTTATTTGACAATCACTAGACCTGATATTTGCTATTCAGTTCATATTTTATCTCAATTCATGCATCAACCTCGTCAAGGGCATTGGCAAGCTGCTCTACGGATCTTGAGATATCTTAAACTTGCACCAGGCCAAGGAATAATTTTATCTTCCGACAGTGATCTTTCTCTTACAGCATATTGTGATTCTGACTGGGCCAGTTGCCCCATCACTCGACGTTCACTAAGCGGATATTTTATCTTTCTTGGCAACTCTCCTATTTCATGGAGGAGTAAGAAACAAATCACTGTTTCTCGTTCTTCTGTAGAAGCCGAATACCGGTCCATGGCTACAACTGCTTGTGAGTTGATTTGGTTGCACCAGTTACTCTCTGATTTGACTGTTTCTTCTTCTTTACCTATCCAGCTCTATTGTGACAATCAAGCAGCTATGCATATTGCTAATAACCCGGTCGACCATGAGCATACCAAGCACATTGAAATTGACTGTCATTTTGTTCGTGATTGCATTCAACGGGGTTTAATTGTTTGTCACTACATTGCCTCTCACAATCAATTAGCTGATCTTTTCACCAAGGCATAGGGGAAACAACAATTCCCGTTTTTGGTTCACAAGTTGGGCATTCGAAATCTCCATGCTCCAACTTGAGGGGGCGTATTGGAAACCATCTACCAAGATTTTCTTTTCTGTTTCCTAATTCTTTGCTATTTTGAAATTTCTTTTGTTTCCTTATTTTTTGCTGCTTTGAAAACTGGAGAGATTTGCTCCTTTTTTTTTTTCTTTTGATTAGCAACAATCACTGAGGCTGTATGTATTATTAGAACCTCTCATATCAAATAGATTTTAAGTTTTTGAGCCAACTTTTTCACAAGTCATCGGCTCACGTGATGTTGCTGCTTGACATATCCTAGAGAAGTGATGATAAGAACTGGGACCTAATTCAAAGAGATGAAAGATTTATTGGGAACATTAAACCACCAAGCATGTGATTTTGTTCTCAGAATGATCAAATCCAGCAAAAATTGTCGAAGATACGAGAAAATATAGTATTCCATTCTATCAGTCAACTAAAACAATTAATTATATGTGCAGAATGACTGAATATATATATATATATATTAAACAATCATTTTCAAGCTACATGTCATGGACTTTAATTTTTTTTCCCTTTTGAGTTTCCTTTAACAATGTTGCAGCAATAGTGCAGGGGGTGAATTCCTGAGCTGAACCTACGAGTAACTATTTGACTTGTTCAACGATCTTGGTCATCAGAATGGGGTTGTTACCCAACCATATTCCGAGTATATGTTGAAGGAATACCATTTAATTAATCACATGAAGCGGAAAAGCAAGGAGTGGGTAGTCCCCTGAGTTTTACTCAAAATGGTATGAAAGCTACTCGATGTTGCATATATAGCGTCATTTGTCGAATTAATTTGTTGCAGATATGGAGTTAGAGAATCTAAAAGATTATTGTTGACAGTACTAAATTTGTTGATTAAGCATTAACGGTATAATCAATACATGTAAATGGAATCATGTTGGTATCAATGGGATAATTAATGTGGAAAGAAGGGCCAGATTAGGCAAGTTTAGTTTGTGATATTTCTGATAAATGTGGTTTGGCTCTATCTCTCTCCCTTTATTTTCTTTCCTTGAGCCAAATTACGTGATTTAGGGCCTGCTTTGGAGGTGCTATCAGCAACGTCATCTACTTGTAAAATAGCTTGCTGGCCCTAACATCCCAAGTCATTATAAATATCTTAACTAATCGTCAAATCTATCAATAAAATTTCCCTTTTCTATCCAAAGAATATTATGAAGGCTTTTAACCTTTTGAGAACCTCATTAATAGGCAAAAGTAAATTGGTTGTATGAAGTAATTTGAGACCAAGGTTATATCACATACAATTAAATTAAAAATTAAACAAGGAAAAGTGGATCATAGGAAATTCCAAAAAGAAACGAAAATTTCAATTGAATCGTGCGTATCATACTGTCCTTTTCCAATTTGATTGAACGGTTACAGTAACACCATCTCTAATTATCTACTTAGGGAGCATTATAACTGATTCCCAAGGAAAAAAGGATGGGAAAAGAAGCTTGTTTACATGGCATTAGTGATGTTTGTTTGCTCTACAAATTGTATAGGCTGATGAGAGTTAATTCTCTCGTAATCAGTTCAAGCGAGAGGTGACATCAAGAAACATGTCTACATTGCAGGGAATTCTGAGACCGCCAGTAGGATGATTATATCCGAACTCTTCTTCTGATAAGCCGAGCAAATCTTGAAAAGAAGGCTGGTTCAAGAATGACACTGGTATCACAAACCTCTTCTGGTTTTCTCCAACATAAACTGCAAAGTAGCCCTTGGGAACTTTCTTAGCACTAACAACACGAAGGAGGCGGATAGCCATGGTTTTTGTGATGGATGTGTGCCTCTGGAAGGGAAGACGAGGAAGATCTCAAAAAAGCTTGAAAAGCGTACTTAATCAACTTTACTAGTACTTGAGAATGTGGAAATATGTGTTGCCGATGGACTTGTTCTTACTTGTATATATAGATGAAAGGGGTACAAGGGACGTGTTTCCTGTACTAAGTGAGGGATGTGGAATGAGCGGTGAAGGGGCAGTTACTGGGGTCTGACTAGTAATGAGAGAGACATCTGTCGACAAGGGGATCACATGGTGTTGTCTTCTAACACTTCACCGAGAATTCCAGCAGCAAAGACTGGAAAGAAAACGTTGCCTAGCCCTTCCGGTAAGACAGACCGACTCAGGACCCATTAAAATATGGAAGATTCGGATCCATAAAAGGCTTTATTTCATAATGGAAGAGTAGTACTACACGCCAGTCGTGGGATAGTCTGAGAGATATAATCTGTCGTACAATGATAGAACACGTATAACTTGGGTTAACGTGACCCTTTATGTTGACTTGACTATAAAAAGAAAACATGTTTGGTTATTATGTTTTGGTCGTAACAATTTGACACCAATGGTACATAATTGAAAGTGGTCGAAACTTTTTTTTTTTTGCTTTTCAACTTTTTTTTTTAATTCTAGTATTTTTGAGTAAAGAAATTGGCAATGTAACCTAACTACGTCTCCTGATTAAACCGAACCAATCAACTTCTTAATTGGACTAAAGGACATGTTATGGATGAATACATAATTCCAAGAACCGTGAGATAAGCCGGGGAGATGTATAGATATGAAACACTTGTTATTTTCTTGATTTTCCTAACTAGTTTCTTAGAGGATATTCTTATGACAAACATCGATTATTTTTTTGTTATGGATTTATATTTAATTGGTTTAATTCCTGAGAAATATCTAAAAATCCCTTTTCTTTGGATCACAAATTCTGAATCCAATTGGATTTTTTTCTCCCCCAAAGAACTACTAATGTCAATGATATTGGCATTCAATGTTCCAGGCATCAACTTGCAAGACAAAGCCCTGGGAGTGCAGGTGACGTACGCCCTACCAGTAGCTCCAGTCACAACCAGACCTACCACGAACCGCCAAATTGAAATTTGAA